GAAACAGTTTGTCACAGCCCCTCGTTTGTTGTCCTCTTCTCTCTCTCTGCCTACGGTTTTACCGGGCAGTTCTGTTTGTGACGATATATATATATATATATATATATATATATATATATATATATAAACTTTATAAACCGACTTGTCGTATTACAATTTGAACAATTCAGGGGTGTACCAACAACTAAGCTAGGCCAGTTGGTTCCCATTTCCTTCATCACCCGCTTTCCCATTTCCTTCCTCTACCCATTCCTGGCACGTAAACCGCCAGTACCTACCACGTTTTTAGGTGTTAACGCGGAGGCTGAATCGGTGTGCTGCAAGGGTCCATATGCATTTGCACCAGAGGGGGGCTAAGACCCCCTCCAGCACAAGGGTGTACCAACTGAGCTAGGCCGCTATGGTCCTGGGCCCAGCTTTGCAGAAAACCGCGAGCGGCAATACCTAACTTTCCGGGGCTCGGGTCTACAGGACCACAATGGCTGGCGGCTCCATTCAAAAAAGAAAGAAAAGTTGCAGTCCTGGCGGTCCTACCTTTGGGCCTCCAGCTGTTCCATCGCAACCGAGAAAGACCATAGTGTTGAGGGGTGGGGTGGGGGGTTATGTCCCTCCTCTCTCCTTTTCCTCCCCCTTTTCCAGCATTCTTGCAGTCTTTCCAAAAAACTTGGGCCTTTTCCTCCTCCTCCTAATCACGGCTGACCCTGCACCACTCAAGCCCAGTCCCCATGCTCTTGCAAAGTCGTCTTTCCTTCTTTTTTTTTTTTTTTTTTTTTTTTTTTGTTGTTGTTGTGTGTGTGTGTGCTCTTCCAGAATGGTCTGAACTGGCTCTAGAGTGACTCTCATGATGTTGCCACTTTCATCCCCTTCCCATGCATACTCACACCGGGATTTTTCCACGGAATCTGACCATGATTGCAGTCAGATACAGCCCGGAAAGTCCTAATGTGAGTACAAGTGAATTTTGTGAATGGAAGTGGATGTAATTGGTCTCCATCACATCCCCATCCCGATGGTGGCTAGATAGATCCCATGTGGGAATTTCCCCCACACTCGCTTCTTTTCTTCGTTGCTCAATGCTTGCCAGGGAAAGTGATGGAGCTGGAGCCCCCCAGAATAGCAGCAGGGGTGATGCTGTGTTGTGTTATGTTGTGTGGGAAGGAAAAAAAACTGAAAGAAAGTGGATGTCGCTGAATGGTAGCTGATCACATTTAGAATTTCAGTAATTGTTTCACAGAATCACCCTCGACAAATCTTAGTGGAGTATGGATGTAACAAAATGCTCACTTTTCAGTTTTTACTTTTCAGTTTTTACTTTTCAGTTTTTACTTTTCACTTACACTTTTACCATAGTGGATATATTTATTATATTGAGTAGAAGTGAGCACATGCATTCAGTCCTATTACTACTACTACCGTCTCCTTCCGAACATAATTAATGCACCCGGGTGCGCAGTGCGCAGTGCGCTGCGCTCAGGGCCGGTGCGCTGCGCACTGGTGCGCTGGGGGGTGCGCGCTGGCGGGGCGCAGGTGCGCCGGGTGCGCACACCATTTTTTTTATTTTTTTATTTTACTGTTTGTTTAGGGATTTATTTTACTGTTTTTT